AGGCTCCAGCTTCAAGAGCTCAAAAATAGCTTTATTTTCAGAAGACTATTTTGACGGGAAACTAACTCCAAACCCAACAGGAAATAAGATTATCTTAAGCTTTCCTTGTGACACCAGAAACTTTCTAAGAAGCCTGGAGGCACACAGCTCCTAAAATATTACAGCACCATTTAATAAGCTCAATCTAAAATCTTATGTAAAAAAGATACTGCAACCGTCATAAATATGAACCAGTTCCCAAGCATCTGATTTTTTGATGCTGTAATGGTCGTAAGTGTGAAAAACAGTCATGACATTTTTTTCAATGCCATTGTAACTTTGAACGGCCAGTAAATGAACTGTTGCAAGTTAAGGACTGCCTGTATTCTTACCTGCTATTCTAGGGTCCAATATCTTTTTTACATAAGATTTTACACTGAGCTTATTAAATTGAGCTGTAACATTTTAGGAACTGTGTGCCTCCAGGCTTCTTAGGAAAGTTTCTGGTGTCACAAGGAAAGCTTAAGATAATCTTATTTCCTGTTGGGTTTGGAGCTAGTTTCCCGTCAAAATAGTCTTCTGAAAATAAAGCTATTTTTGAGCTGTTGAAGCTGGAGCCTAAAATAAAGGACAAGCATAACTGTCTTGATTCTGTTTAAATGTTTGCTAGGAAGCCATGGATGATAATGGATATAATGCTATTTTTGCAATAAAAAAACAGAAGTAAAATATTTGCCCTTTTCTAGGTGTTTGAAGGAACTTCGGGAATCGATGCTAAGAGAACATCTTGTGAATTCACTGGGGATATCCTTCGAACCCCGGTGTCAGAAGATATGCTTGGTAGTATCAGATTTTGTTTATTGGATGGAAAACTTTATATGTGACTTGTCCTGATGTCTATTTTGTATACAGTATGGTAGCTTCTGTGGTAATAATGCATCTCTCTCTCTCCCTCCCTCTCTCCTTTTGATCTTTATAGGACGTGTGTTTAATGGCTCAGGAAAACCTATAGACAGAGGTCCTGTAGTCTTGGCCGAAGACTATCTTGATATCATGGGTATGTTTAAAATGTTTAAAATAACAATATAAATGTCTCACAGGAAATGGGTTTGCAGTAGACTAGTATAATAAAAGAAACAGCTCAGGAAAGCCAATCCGTATGAATGTTCAGTTGCAAACATTGAGTCGAATGAAATATGATTTAAACACCCAATCAATCTCATCACATCAGTTGGGGTTTCCAATGGATTTGAGGATTCGGTGAATGAAGTGATCGATTGGAAGATTGATTTGAAGATTTGTTTGACTGTCTCTGCATGCGTTCATCCAAATGTTCAAATCAATTCAAAAATTGGCATGTGGCATCCAAATCATCATAAACTAAAATCAGGTCTTGGCTAATTTGCACATCCTTACACAAGCTAGAAAATCAACAGATTTCTTTGACTGTCTCTTTTCAAAGGTTGGCCTTGTATTCTAAAGGATACTCTAACCCAATGATAGCAAGATCCAGTTTCAAGGCATTGAAACCTTTAATTTGCTTTAAGTGATTATGAGACCTGGACATTTCTCGAGTGAAGTCTTCAAGGAACCAGAATTGGCTCATCATTGTGTAGTCATTTAAATAATAAAAATGCAGTGTGACCTCAAGCTTTGAAAGTACTCCACCATCTTTAGAGGCTGTCAATTAAGAAGGTGCTTGCAGTTAGTAACTCACACAAGACCTTGCTTTGTATAGATTAGGGGTGTCAAACTCAATGCCCTGAGGATCTGGCCCACAGGGTGCTTAAATCTGCCCGCAGTCCAGAAACAGTGAAGGACCAGCCCATGGTGCCTCTGCCAGCAAAAATGGAGCTTGGACCCCCACTCTGGCCGAGGGTTGCAGTTGTCTGTCACAGCCAAAAATGGAGTCCATTTTTGCTGTCAGAGGCTGCACGAGGCTGTTGCGGCCAAAAACATGTCCCGTTTCCCCATCCCCCCGGCTCTGTTTTCGCTGGCAGAGGGCTGCAGGAGGCTGTCAGGAAGAAAACATGCACCATGAGCAACCTGGCCCAGGAAAGCGAGAAAAGGAGCCTCGAGGAGGTAAGCGCAGCCGGGCACCCCCTCGGGGAAGCTGGGCTGGGCTGTGGGGTCCCAGTGACCTGGGAGCTCAAGGGCTGGACTGGGCGCTTGCCCTCCGCTGCCTAGGGCTCGGGACAACCTGCACTGCCATCCACAGGTTCTCTGCGTAGCCTGATATGGCTGGCGAGGGTCCTCTCGTGGACAAGGGTTTGGCACTCCTCCTGGTCTCGCCTTCCTCCGCTGGAGACAATGCATTCCCCCCAGCCCCACCTGGGCCACCACAGGTGCCCCCAACATGAGTGATGTTGAGCTGTCCACACCTACCCCAGCCATGCCCGCCCAGGCTCCCCCGAGGTCCAACACAACCCTGATGCCACTCTCAATGAAATTGAGTTTGACACCCCTGATGGAGATGCTTCAGAAATATCCACTTTCTTAGACAACTTGCTTGAACTGTAACATGGGTGTATGTTGGATTTTAATATTCTTTGTGGGAAATGCTGGTCATGCTTTCTTAGAAAATGCAAACTAAAACAGACTGTTTTTCCCATTAAAATGAAATAGGTCAGCCTATCAATCCTCAGTGTCGAATCTATCCGGAAGAAATGATTCAGACTGGCATTTCTGCTATAGATGGTATGAACAGTATTGCCAGAGGCCAGAAAATCCCCATTTTCTCTGCTGCCGGATTGCCCCATAATGAGGTAGGAATTTGAATAGCATTTTATGGAGTAGTCATCTCACTTCCTCCTGGACAGATCAAAACGAAGAAGAGAAAAACTGGAGGCCACTCTCTAGTCCTTCATGAAGCTCAAGTATAAAAACAAGCTTAAAAATAAAACTGTTTAACAAATCCAAACATTAAGATAGATCAAAACCTTAAGCTAAAATCACACTGAAGGCTGAACTCCATTATATTTCATTTAAAA